ATTCTTGTATGTTTATGTTTATGGGCTTATGCAAGTTTGTGTGGATATAGCTTTAAACTTCCCAAATTTTAGCCATGAACTACGAATCGTTTTTCCCAAATTTTAGCCAAATTAATTAATGAATCTCATTAAACTTATGCTCGTTTTAATCAATAAGATCAGCCGCAACCCGGTACATAGCCGGATTTTGGAAAAAAGATTAAAATAAATTTTTCGAAAATAAATATTACGAATCTTGCAGTTAAAGTGCAGTTTTAAGAGCATAAAGTGCACTTGTCCTCCTGTCGACCTTATGCGGGGTCCACGATGGCCGCGTTCAGTAGACACAACTGTTGAGTTTGTCTTATCAACACTCTGCGTCGATTGGTTGGTTCTAAAAGTAAGAACCAATCATGTTCGACCGCTACTGAGCGGCTTGGTCTGCTGAACGCGACCAATAGATGCTTTTCATTAATGCCCGGTGTCCACGATGCAAGAACTGTGTCCAAGTTTCGGTTTAAGCCAATGAAACTGCTACTTTTCTGTAAGAGCTGCAAGTTGATTGGCTTAAACCAAAACTCGGACCGATTTCTAGTATCGTGTACACAAGGCTTTAGCGACTCAAGTCGACACAAGCGTCATTCTGTCCTTTTTCAACATCTAGTGAACAACAAAAGAGTGTGTCGACTTGCGTCGTTAACTGGAAAGCATTCAATACGAAGGTATGTTGTACAGGCAATAATAGAATGCATTGATATACGGCTTCCGATTGGTTGAAAATCTATATTCTGTTGCTATTCCCTATTCCTATTGCCTGTACAGTAGAACATACGCGGTAAAGTTAAGAACGAGCAGCCGTTATCAGCATTCAGCATCAATCGCGTATTTATTTTCTCGTAATAAAAGGTATCATTAGATCTCTCGTGGAGAAAAGAAATAGGAAATGAAAAAACAATGGTAAGAAATCCATAGAAAAAAGCAAGAAAAAAATATTAAAATAAACTTTTTTTCCCCCGCAAGATTTTAATAGATTGAGAATATCATATCATACGAATATTTGAGCTTACAGACTCAAATTGGTCTGAAAATTTTATCGTAATTTTTAGACCAATAAATAAAAGAAAGTCAATATCTTTTTCTTATTTATTTGATACAATTCTATTTTATTTAGTAAAATAAATATTCTACCTATTTAATATATTTGACATGTTATCAATATAAGAAAGCATGATAATAAAAAATAAGTTAATTTATTTATATTTTTTCAGGAGTCTAAACTTTGAATAGAGCACGGGTATGTCGATCAGTCACGTGGTCGATGACGTCATAGTTCATACATGCGTACAACGCTCCGCTCCGGAGGGATTTATCCGTATTCCTCGATCCCCCCATTCCCAACTCCCAACATCCCTCCCAACACTGACGCAGTCGTTCCGAAGTTGTTCGCGAGGTTGTGTGTACGTCGCCTCTCGGTCTCGAGTACCCCACTCCGCGTCCTCGGGCTTCGAGGAACCTTATCGCCCTCCCGATAAACGTTTATCACGGTTGGCGACTGCCGGAACACGAGCCCGGTCCCCACGTCAGTGCCCGCAGTGTGAACGAGCCCCGCGAAGATGACGGTAATCACGAAAGCGATCACCGAGAAGAAGGCGTCCGACAAAATGGAGCAGCCATTGTTTGTGGAGGAAAACGCGGCGGTTAGTATACACCTCGCGCTCCGCGGCGCTCGGCCGCGTCTCCCGGACGTTACCCCTTCGACGCCTCGGGCGCTCCGTCTCGGCAGGAGAGGATCCAGCTTATCTTTAATAGGTCACGGCGGGGTCGCGTTGTGCGCAGCAAAGCCACTTAACGCAACCCTTTCATATGTATATATGTGTACATGTATACACACGTATATGTATACATGTAGGAATAATTCTTGTCGAATCTATATAATATGTACATGTGTATATGTGTGTACATATTCCATAAATTGTCAATTTATATATCAGAGTACGTTATATCTATCTTGTTTCTATGCTATCAGCGCAAGTGCGCGCTTGGGTTTCAGCTGTGTTGGTGTGTCTTGTACACATACATACATTCGCGCGTCTACCAACGGGAGCCAGGTCATCCAGGCCAAGTAAATTATAATGACAAAATATACTGCTGTCTGTTGTGACAGATGCACACGCTTTATGCTTTTCCATGCCTCGATGACGATATGACGCGTGACACATTAAATGCAGATAGGGAAATAGCGCCTGAAGAGGGATATTTAACGAGGGAAATTGAGACCCTCTTTTGCTGTTATTGATTTTTAAAACGGATCATTTTTCCTCTCGCAACTTGTCAAGTAATTCCGAAACGGAATCCTAAAAGTCAGTTCTTAGAATTATTAAATCTTTTGTTATATATTTTTTACCGGCAGAGCTGTTACAAATTAAATTGAATTTCGGGGAACAATTAAATTATTTCTCCGCACTAATTTTATTTTATTTACAGGAAAAAATATGTACTTGCTGATAAACAATTTATCAATTACCCGTGTTTTCGTAAATTTCACGTAGATTTCACATTTTGGAGACATAATAGTTTTATGTATAATTTGTTATTTTATTTGCTATTTTTTACTGAAAAATTAATTTGAAAATATATTAAAGAACAAAAAGATATCTGAATTAGGGATGGGTTAAACGCAGGTATTTTTCTTCAACAGGAGGGTAAGAAAGCTGATCCCGAAGCAGCGTATGCAAAAGTCAGTGAAGTCCCGAACAGCCGTTTTATCGCTTCTAGAAGATACCGAATCATCCATCGTATACATATGCATATAACATTTTTGCTCTTTCTCCTCGCGCTGTTGATACTGCTTATCGGCATGATCGGTGGGCTGTACATCTACAAACAGTATGCGAGGACTCAGATGCGCAGATTCCGTACTGGCTGGTACAGCATTCCGTACGACAGCTCGAATAAAGCGTCCTACGGCAACAATGTGGTTCATCAGGGACTGTTGGCCGACTCCGACCTGTTCGCCAAAAGTCTCACCAGAGCCATGGAGCAGGATGCGCTAGATATCGCGAGACACATAGATCATGACATCAATAACTTCTTCAAGGAGAGATTTGAGATTGATCTTGAGAACGAGCATTATGAGAAGATTGACGTGCCTGATTTCCGCGGTGGACGCCAGGGCCGCTTTATACACGATTTCAACATTGTGAGTCAATGGGCCGATATCACAGTCTCCGATTACGTGATCCTCCGATTAAACTCACTCTGCATCTCTTTCTAACTGTCCCCCTAGAAAGAGACGAAGAGTGAGTTTAATCGGAGGATCACGTTAATCGGAGACTGTGATACCGGAATATCCTATTCCCGTATCGCAATTCGGCATACGCGCGATCTCCTCGCACGGATCATATTTCTTACGATGCCATATTTACTTACAGAATAAGACGGGTATCATAGATATTGACGGTCAGTGTTGCTTTGTCATGCCACTGAATCGTCAGCGCGTACTGCCACCTCGTAACATGTATGATCTCCTTAGAAAAATGTACAACGGTAAGTATGACTTTTATTGATTTACTTATTTATTCAAATATGCTGCACGTACAATTCTCATTTATCAGGTTATTACGAAGTGGACACTGCAGTCGTACGTGAAACCATGAAAGTAATCACACCGCCAATTACCGACATGTCGCTCGTCGGGACGTACATAGCGCGCGAATGCCAAGACTTGCCTACCTATATGCTGCAGAAAGTAAATTCTTCTAGTGGTTAGTTATCAAATTTCAAGTTGTACAAAGTACAATCTCTCTCGTATGACGTGCTTTCTAATATATTATTGTATTTTCAAAAATTCCAGTTGTTAAACGCAGCGCATCGCAGAGCGGAGTGTTCGGGCAATTCGCCGGTAATAGTATTATGGAAGTCGATATCGTAAACTTAGAGGACTTCGAATGAAACTGCGAGAAATAATTGAGCAGTGGGAATTTCAATTATTCTAGAATATTACAACCACCAGTAGATCAGTGTATAAAAATTATAAGCTGTCCAGGGCAAATAGGTAAATATTATGTCGAGTTTAGAATTGTTACTTTGCATTTATAGGGCATCAATATTAATTTCTCGCTCTCGGCGTTTTCCTAAATCATATTTCAGATATACTCCCGCATTTTTATCGAAATTGTCATTATAAGTCCTTCCATTTTCTATTAATTTTAGATATTATAACATATGATACAAGCACGATTTGTTATTATTCATCTGAAGTATACAGTACATCAGGAGAAACTCCTTTATAATATCGTGAGAGGCTAAACGATTGAATCACTATAAAAAAATGTAAGAATTCTCAGCAAGATGGTGTATTGTCCGCAGGTTCTTATAGGAAAATTAATATTTCTTCCATATCCTTGTGGTATATTATTCAAACAGATAGCAAATGCGGTGTTACATGCCATAGTAATAAAATGTTTATTATTAAGGATTCTGGCACACAGCTTGTTGACTATATTTATGAATGTCTGCGTTAATAATCGATGAAACTAGTAGAATAGCCATGCACGTGCTAAGTGGTTGCGCTTACGACGCAGTTTTATGATACGTTATTATTAGTGAGCTCTAGATACGTTTATTTGTGAATTTTGTTTAGAAAATCTATCGCTTGCGTCACGGGCAGTACTTGAGAACACAGTGAGATTGAGATATAAAACAAGAATTATCAATATCGCAAAATTGAAAATAATTTTGGAAATGTGTTTCAATAAGAAATATATTTGTTTTACTGGTTTTACAATTGCGATTAATATGTAAAACACGTTAAACATTCATAAGATTACTGTGACTACATAAATATTTTTACAAAACGTTTGGATTGAAAAACACAGGAGTTACATAGAGTACTGATCCACGAGAGAAGTCTTGGTGTGTTTGAACATTCCATATAAGACTTGCTTATCTCTTCTGCATTTCTAATCATGAAAAGTTACGTGCTTTAGTAAATATTAATAATGCAGTATTTTAAATCATATCGTATTTTAAATATATGTTTTACGTATCAGTTCATCGTCAAGTTATTACGCATAAAAGCTGGAACTGAGAACCAGAACTGGAATAGGTAAGAATCGCGATCGACTGAATGCAATTTTGCCATTAGTCTACTTTGGTGCATTGTCACACACATGCAGAGAGAAGCCGTTTTTTTTTTAAATATTATAAACTTTTTTTTTAACATTTTATTACATATACGTACGGCATTAAGTGTCAGCAGACGTATCTAGGTACTCGGATATTCATTACTTTTAAATGCTACGTGTTATAGATGTATCTAATACTAACATTTATGAAGTGAGAGTCTCTGGGTTTTTTCAATTTACAGAATACTTTATAATAAAAATAACTCGCGAGTAAAAATTGATTTCAAACAGTATATCAGAAAGAAATAGAATTCTAGTCTGTTTCGTGTGATGAATTATTATTATATATAATTGATATCGAAATTAAGTTGGCAAACTGAAGACGCATTGTTGCAAAATCATTTTCATCTATAAATTATTGAGATAGTTATTAACGAACAATTAGATATAATATACGAATAAAGATACTGTGTTTGTTGTATTTCCGAATGGATTAGAAAAGTTAAACTCTTTAATACCCACATAAAAAAAAAAAAAAACATCAACCGACATAAAGGAAATATGTGCTTATTAATATATGCATGGATCACATTATGGACCGAGTGCCTAAACATTTATAATCCATTCCGTATTAGTTACGTGCTCTTGCTTGTATATTATCGAGTCCAATAAACGAACATGCAAATGTATAAATATGCGGCGCGTACACGCCGTTTTAAATGTCCGTAGACATGTAGATTAAACACTGGTGGCAATAAATAGTACATTAGTTAGTTCCACCATTTTTCCAGATGGGGATGGAAATGCAGAATATCTTGTTAATTAGCTTCCGTTAATTCCACGGCGATGCGTAATTTTGTCTGCGCATTTGAAACTTTATTATAGAACTGTTACGCGATTCTCTCTGTCACGTTTCGTGTGATTGTAGTTAAGTTCCTATATAGTCATTTCTATCTCCGTGAGTTTGAGAAGTTTCCTTAGCTTTACAGCGTTAAAAAACCAAATTTGTAAAACTGTACGCGAATTAATTGTAAAAGTCTGACGAGAAAATAAACGATACATATGAATGTCAGTATTAATGCCGTATCGAATACAATGATTCTTGAATCGATGTTTTATTAAAGCAAAAGATGGCTGTATGAGAAAAGGGTTTATTTCAATCTCCGAGGTTTATTTCACAAAAACTTTCTCTTCTTTACTTATATATCAATTTATCGAACTATTGATAAAAATTTAATCAGTTATATATTTTTTGCATACAGAATTTGTTTTCATATACAATTATGCATTAGTATAAAAAAAATACTAACGTATAGTCATAGGTCAAATATTATTTGTATGTACCAAGTCAGCTATGGCTTTCTGTCTAAGAGTGTAGAGTTTCTTCACCCATTTATCGAACCTTGCTTCTTGATCCATCATAATCTGAGAAGAAGGAACAAATGTTATCTATTGTACGAGTACACTGGAGTAAATCATCAAAAAATTTAAAAATGAGAGAAACTTACCGATGTGTGAAATATGCTTTCTGGGCCGCTGGAGACGTTAGACACCGGTGGAATCTGTATGGTATCCGAGCTAATGTCTATAACGATATTTTTAAATTTACTCTCTTTGCTAGCGGACGAAGTGAACTGCTTGGGTGTGAAACCCTCGGCGTTTATTTCCTCGATTACGCTGTCTTTGAAACGTGGCTCAATGGGAAACTCGTCTGAAAAGCGACATACAATTTGTATCTCTTAATTATAACGCACAATCGTTAAAGTAAAATATTAATCGTGATATTAAGAGCCAACGTTTCTACCTTTTACCGCTAGAATTTGGTTCTTCTCTACGTTAACTTTCGGCTGATTCGACTGCGAGCTGCTGGAGGGGCTTCGCGACTTATCTCTGGACGTGGACCTAGCTTTTCTTCTCGTACGATCCGAAGAGTGCGACCTGCCCGTCCTGGAACGGTAACGTCTCCTGTCTCGATCTCGCGAATGACTGCTCCTGGAACCTTTGTAGCTCTTTGAATTCCGATCTCTTCCTCTACTTCTCGAGTGTGAACGGTGTTTGCGCTTCGTTTTAGAGTGCTTCGACGATCTCCTTCGATGCGGCGAGGACTCGCTGCTGTCCGAGCTGCTAGACCTGCAAGAGTTATTGCAACACTGAGTACTGAGACTCTTCTTCTCGTGGATAAGATCTGACAATAAATCGCATCAAACGATTCGACGAACACGTGGACACGTTAAATGTTATAACTTTAATTAATAAAATATTAATTAAAATTGACGTAAGATACAAACTGAAAATTGTATAACATTTTACTAACTTTTCCTAACCTCAATACTGCAATCGGCTAAGAAGAGCAGTTGATAGAAGAGTGTGTCAAACAACTGGAGCAATGAGCTTATCCCGAATTTAAAAAAAAATTCCAATCTTGCATTTTACCTCGACTTTCGATTTCGCTTCCTTCGGTACCTGCTGCTGTGATCCGAGTCCGAGTCGCTGGAATATCTCGCCATAGCCGTCAACAGAGCGTTCCCGTTTACGTTCGTCCAGGTCCAGAATGAGCCAACGATCTAAATCTTCTTCTTCGTGGCTGATTGGCACCTGGTGAACGATCCAAATCCATTGAAACACCTGACACCCAGCACCCAGAGCACGAGGTCGAGGGGTAACCCCATACACAGGGGTCACCGGGTGTGTTTCGAGATGTATTGACACTTGACAGTACAGCAGATCTCTATAGTATGTATATAGTATGTACATACATACACGTGCGCGAATTGTACTTTCAATCCCACCAGTGCATTTCGGAACGCACCAATGGTGCACGTGTGTTTGTGTACATACATACATGCACGTATGTTTAGCACCGGGCTGATTAGGTGTTTAGGTTGATAGCGCTGAACGGCACGGTGTCTGACAGTATTGATCAAGTAGAGAGTAGAGTTTATCTCGTGTTACACGGCAATGGAACGGAGCTGGAGCTGCGAATGAACTTCGCGAGGTTCGTGTATTCGGGTCCCCGCGCCGCGGGGACCGCCGACGATCCGCAAGAAGAGGACGCGGATGGATTCAGGCTGGTGCACTCGTTGAAGATCAACGACTCGGTCCCGTTCTCCATGTACAAATCCGCGAGAACCGGCCTGACAGTTTGCATCGCGGACGTGGAAGGTCCGATTGTCAACTGCCACTTTGCACTCGGTAATTCTTGCACGCATTTCAGACACGGTTTTCCTTGATGTCCAGACATGAATGAATTAATTCTTATTCGTCTCAGAAGATTGCTGAAAGGGAAATTAGTAAACATCAAAATACAAGTGTTTAGTGATACTTTTAATCTCATTTTTATTTGTATCAATTCTCTCTCCTTAGCCACCGAAGTGCTCAATGACGAAGGTCTTCCTGAAGCGGTGGCACATATTCTATTTGCGGGCAGCGAACAGTATCCCTATACAAATCTTTTGGATCGCTGGTCCTACAGATGTTTGTCACTTGGCACTGAGACTCATACGTTTCAGGATTACACTTGTTACAGCATGAAAACAAGTGGGAGCGAAGGATTTTTTTCCCTACTGCCCGTATACCTCGATCATATTCTTTATCCTACTCTTAAGGTAAAATTTTCAATAATTTTTTCTTTATATAAAAGAAAAATAAGAGCTCAGTCACAATGGCCTAGTTTACACCGATCTCTTGATACGCGTATCAAATAGTATATTTGAACTGATCAGCCAATAATCAGACTTATTTACTAGTTATTTACTATTTAATACGCGTATCAAGTGATCGGTGTAAACTAGGCCCATGAGAAAAATAAGGAATAAGATAAAGGAATAAGGAATAAGGGAATGTCGCATCTCACTTCAGTACACGTACATTAAAGTGAGATGCAATATGCCTTATTCCTAATTCCTTTATCTTATTCCTTATTCCTCTCATTGTGACTGAGCCTTAACTCTTTTATTATTTAATATAAGATCTTACTAATATAATACGTCAAATATTAAAATATTACAATTCTGTCTTTGTAAAACTTTTTATTTATAATAATTTTTTATTAATAAATAAAAAATAATTTTAAATTCTGTAAAATACTCATTGCATCCTGATTATAAATGATTAATATATCTATCCATTAATACATAAATAATTACAAACTATGTAAAAATTATGTGAGAAATGTTTAACACCTTTGTACATTTTGATAATAGGAAGCAGCATATATTATAGATATACATCATATTACTAAGTATGGAGAAGATGCGGGTACATTATATTTTAACGCCAAGAATAAAGAATTAGACGGAGAACATGTAACATATACTGAACTAATGAAAGCGATGTATCCTGAAAATTGTGGATATAGCTCGATTGTTCAAGGTACAGGAAACACCTAATCGAATTGTAATGTTATTGTAAATGTTATTTATTTTTATACGTGTAGGTACATCGTCGCACATATCACAATATCTCGTTCTCGACGATATCAAACGATATCATAAGGAATATTACAGACCAGAAAACCTAACTGTGTTAATAGTAGGCCAAGTACAGCATGATAAAGTTTTGCAAGTGTTAGAACCTTTAGAAGAAAAAATAATATCAAAGGTAAATTATAAATTAACTTTAATTTTAATATTATAATTAAGTTGAAAGTTATTAATTTTAGAAATTAGAAAAACAGACATTAATGTCAGAAATAAGTGAAAAATATTGTAGTTTATTATTAACTGCATATTATATTACATACTATTATCGAATTAGAGATGTGTGATTATTAATCTTGGCATTATATTCTTTATCTTGTATTTGCGATAATCTTGATATTTATAGTCTCAAAATTGTAGGGAGAGAGAAGTGTGTTTAAAAGACCCTGGCAGACTCCAATTAAACCGCTTACAAAAAGCGTAGATGTGGAATTCCAATATCCGTGTTACTCCCGCGTTGGGGCACATGTTCGTATAGCTTGGCAAGGACCGTCCACGGTTAATAAATTGTACGATTATTTCGGCTTTTGCTTACTCTCGCAATATTTCACATCCGACGGTGCATTGCAAAAAGAATTTATCAGGGAACAGATTTCTTATGAATATTACTTACATGAATTCTCGACTTCAGCTTTAAGCTTGATGTTCCCGAATGTGCCGGGTCGTAAAGTTCCTCTAATCAAGGAGTCTGTGATCAAAGTACTTAAACATATATCTGACGTTGGTATACAGTTAAAAGAAATGAAGACTGTAATTCGCAGATATATTATTAAAATTTTAAGTGACTTGGAAAACAATCTGCATAATACAATCGCAACTGGGCTATTTAAACATGTATTATATGGAAAAACGAACAAAGATGTATGTTACGAATTTATTTATTTATTTGCTGCGTTTTATCGGACATATTGATTAAAATTGCTTCGTTTTCATTAACAGCTGGATTATAGATTGAACGTTGTACATTATCTCAAAAGATTAGAAAATGAACCTAAATGTTACTGGTCAAATCTTTACAAGAAATATTTTGTCGATACGCCGATGATCGTTGTAAGAGGCACGCCTAGCCGTGAAATGTTGAAGATATTTTTGGAAGAGGAGAGAAACACAAAAATCGATCGGATACACGAGTTCGGCATGCTTGGTTTAGCGAGAAACGATATACTCTTTTTCCAAGCCATAAACGAAAATGTATGTGAATATATTCTTATTAAAGATTGAAAGTATCTGCGTAACTAAAGTATTTTATAGCCAAAGCTTAGCCATTGGCAATACTCTTGCTATTGATGATGTTTTTTCTCAAGTCACATATACCCGACGAAGTATTAGAAAGTATACCTGTACCTGGCACAGATTCCATTGACTTCCATCACATTAAAAGTTACAGTACAGAAACCCTGGAGCAGCATCCTGAATTTGATGTCACTCAACTGCCGTTTTTTACCCATCTAGATCATGCCGATACAAACTTTATTTATGTGAGTATCATATCTCTTATGTGAGTATCATATCTCTTATTGTGTAATTCTGTTGGAAGCATAATTCACAGAAATATCTCTTTCTATTTGCAAAGATTTCAAGGCATACATTCATATTTAACGGTTGTACATCAATTATTGAGATAATTATTACTATAATTAATTGCTGTTTATTTAAATCCAGATGTTCGTCATCATGGACACTACTTCCATTAGTAAAGGATGTAAAAAATATATTCCACTATTGCTAGAGCTCATTATGGAATCTCCGGTGAAAAGGGCCGATCATCTGATTCCTTATGAGGAAGTAATAGATGAATTGAAAGCAGATACTGTCGCGACTGCCACTCAAATTAGTATTTTTAAGCCCATAGGATTCTCATTCAAATCTTCTGGTGTTTATTTGATGCTTCAAGTATGTATACTTATGTATGTAACGTATAATAAATTACTTCTTTTATAAAGAAGTAATAGATGAATAATTTAAACCAATTTATAACTGTTACATATCTTTTTCATGTAGCTTGAATATGAAAAGTATGAGAAAGGTGTTAAGTGGATTAAAGAACTTTTATATGATACTGTGTTAACAGTTGACAGATTAAAAGCAGTAGCAACGAAAAAAGTAAATGATATTGCTCAATTGAAGATAAAAGGGGACCAGATTGCAAACGATTTAATGAAAATATTACTGTACAATGAAGGTAAATGATAAATCTCATCTCTAAATCTGTAAACAATTCTTTAAATCCATAATTCTGGAAACAACTTTTAAATCATTAAACTGGAATATATACTAAATAAAAGAGAAATATGTAATATGTATTTTTTTAATATTTGTAGACAGCAATCCTTTCATGTTCAGCTTATTGCAACAAGAAGAATTCCTCACCGACATTATAGAACGTTTGAAGAATGATGCGGGTCAGAAGGAAATCATGGCAAATATCGAATCAAGCAGAAAAACTCTGACGTTATCAAAAAATATGGAATTGTATATGACTGTTAACGTCACGAAATTAACAAAGGAAGTTTCAAATGTCTACGCTCCATGGGAAACATTCTTTCCTGATGTAGTTACAGAAAAAGCCAAGTAAATATAGTTATTATACTTGATAAATTGTCGGAAAATGTTAGGATAATAATATATAATAAAAAGCAGAGTGAATCATTAACATGTAACGATTTTTAAAACCTATTGTAGCATTGAATTATAACATGTGTAAAGACTTTCTTGTTTCTTTCCGCCAAAATATATATATATATTTTGAAATGTTTTAGAAAAAATAATTATTCTCAATATATGAAGCTTTTCAGTAACTTGTTTAAGCTTGTGTGTAAATTGAAATTTATTGTGCGCTCGGCTCTAAGATATAAAAACTATTATTGAAAAATTTATTGAAAATATGTAATATACTAATAGTAATATATTTTTAGGCTCAACATTACTGCTGATTGGACATTAATGACTCTCACGAACCATGTTGCTATTAACGGATGTATCGTGGGATTGGAAAACAAAACGAAGGCATTCTTCCTACGAACTTATCCCTCCATAGATGACTATCGGAACCCTGATCTGCCGGCTTTGCTCGTTTGTTTGATGTATCTTGATCAAATGGATGTAAGCGCTGTGATACTTGTCAATCAAAAAAACGCAAAATCAATCATCGTCATTTCAAAGATATATAATTTCAGGGACCCTTATCGTTATTAATTCGACACTCTGAACGTGCGCGTGATTTCGAATTTTTCGTGTCGTTGCACGAAGGGTTATTGTACCTGGCTATTGATGACGCTACAGACTTGCTAGGCGCATACATTAAGGCAAAAACGAATGTGGTATGAGTAGTAATAGATTATTCATACAAGGAATAAATAAATATATAAATATTATATAAAACATATAACAACTATATAATAAAGAGAATATTTTGCATCATGAGTTTTCTGTTGCAGGAAAATCGTGTGTCTGGACATTGGGCCGACAACTTTTGCGAATCGGCCAAATCGCTTATGATCTACCAGATCATAACAATGAAGAACGCCATAGGCAACAGAGCGAATGAATCATTAAGGTGTTGTCGCGGTATGCCGCTTGATCATTGTCTTCCATTGATACGACATATCTCTGCCGTTACTAAGGACGATATGAACCGCGTAGGGAATCAATATATCATGCCGTTATTCGATCCGGAAGTGTGTAAGACTATCATCGTTTGTCACACGTCTAAAATCTCGACAATGGACGAGGCTTTTAAAGAGTAAGTACAATTCTTGTCACATTATTCTCTCTTCTTATTTTTAAGTAACATAAGTAAATACATAATTCTTCTTTTTTTTACAGAATGCATCATAGTTTTAAGACGTACAACAATTTTAAAGGAGCTTATTCAATACTATCTGAAAAAACGCAAAAACAAACAAAGATTTATCAATAATAAAGATATAAAGATTTACCAATCAAAATCTTGGGAAACATCCAAGATCGTTCAAATGTATTTTACGCTCTTTTTGAGAAAGTTATTTGATATGTGAATTTGATGTGAAATACTAAAGATTTCATATTTAATATATAAATGTTTAATATACAATGTAATAATTCATACAATCAATATTATATGTAAATAATATTAATAATATATTTATTGTTTTAATAATGTTTCCATTTCGTTTGCTTTTACGCACAAACAACAAGATGTTCAAAAAGTATTTATAAAAATTTACACGTTTAAAAAGTTTAAAATTTTGTTAACAATTGCGAAAATATAAAAAACAATTATTTATTTTTAATATAGAATATCCAATAAATGTTTGTCATTCATAGATGTAAACTTTTGATGTGTATATAAATAAAAGTTCTTCAGGAGATGCTGCGTTTTTTTTTCTATTATGACTAGAAGATCAGAATGGATTATTAAGAAGAAACTGCTACAGTTTCTATCTCTAACGCCGACACGCCACGTTGCTTGATGGGCTGGTAAACTCCACCATAAATTTGAAACTCAAACATAGTGATATTTGCTGTATCTAGAGGCTCACCGTCCGGAATCTCACGTCCACGATAATAAGGTTTGAAGTCTTTCAAAGGTAAAGTCATCGTGGAAAATTCGTCGTCCGACATTGGTACCTGAAGCGGAATTTTCAAAGACTGTGTACCGAAAGAAGATTGTTTCCAACGCGATACTTTATGTCACAGACAAATTCCAAAGATCAGTAAAATGGAATCGAAAACAATGGTAAACAGGATGAGACTGAAGCTTTACCGTGAAGAATTGTTCATAGCTGAGGTCCTTATTGGAATTCTCTCCTCGATGTCTCAAGGATATCTTGTAGTGGCTATTTTGCCCCTGCCCCCGGCAACTGATCTCGATATTTCTGAATATCGACAAGTCCAGGTTCGTCGGTTTTCTGACGCCAGCGAAACCGGCACCGTTTGGTTGCGGATTCAGTAGCGTGAAGAGGACCGCTCTCTGGAAGAGCTGGCTTGTTTGCAGCGTTAAGACAGCTTTGGATTTTCCCACTGTTCTCACAGTGTCGGACATCTCCCGCCAATCGTCCACACTTTGCGCATCCGTGAAATCGAAGAGCATCATTTTATCCCTGATTAAATCCAAATGATGCAAACAAATGTAGACAACAACTTGTACTTCATTCACACAGTTTCAGTCAGTTAGATAAATTAAATTTTTGCATATCCTTGTATCATTTCGTACAAAAGGAAACGTTTCAAGTCCGCAATACGAGGAAAAAGATAAATAGTGAAAATGTAGTGAAAACGATTCGTTAGTCTTCATTTTATTATTATTTATACTGGAAGTTTATTTTAAACAGTTTATAATTCCCACCAAAATTCAGAATAGAATTCTATTTACAATTTTATGTGTCTATAGGCTGTAGTCCATTTGATGCTACAAATACTTTGAAGCGTCCTTCTTCTTTCTTCCCTGAAAGAAAGGAGAAGAGAAATGCTTCGAAGCATTTGCAGTGTTAAGACCACAGCCACAGTATATACTGTGCCACAGCCATAATCATTCGAAGATTCAGAATACATGTATAGGCCTAATTTACACCGATCACTTGATACGCGTATTAAATAGTAAATAACTAATAAATTAGTTTCATTATTGGCTGATCAGCTCAAATATACTATTTGATACGCGTATCAAGAGATCGGTGTAAACTAGGCCTAATATATATAAATTATACATTCAAATATGTATACAATGATGGATCAAATTATAAATAGAATTGCCTTTGAAAATCCAATGAATTGTAGATCAAGGTATAATTAGACAAAAAGTAATACATTTTAGAGTATAATACATTTACAATCACGTCATTAAATCTTTTCCAAAATCAATTAACAATCATGTACACATTAAAAGGAATTTGTCGTTTATTTGTAGTCATAGAGGTTAATTCACGAGAGATCAATTGTTCTCAATCATTCGTGATTTTTCTCGAGATCCATCGGTCGTGGGAATCCTCCCTTCCGAATCCGTAATCCCGACGCGTAATTTCCGAACGCATCATGCGTAATATTAAATGACGATAATTACATATTACATCTTACATCACACCTCACCCTTTCGCGAAGTGACAGGTCACGATAAAAGCGGCGATAATTTGTAAATTCATGTTTCGCAAGGTATATTATTTTCCCCGAGGAGAACACGAGTTCGCCAAAAACGCGTCAAGTCGAGGCGGTCGCTTTTCTACGACGTAGACAATAGATGCTTGACATTTCGTTGACATGCAACGTGGAGCATATACACGTTGCTTGGAAGTTGTATATATGTGTCTTCGGTACGTCGCGTCGCGGCGTATTCGCGACAATAATAGCCATGATATTTAACAAGGCGTTATATAATGACAAAAAGTGTGATATATCTTTGTAAATAATGACAAAAAAGTCCATCAAAACGAAAAAAAATTGCTAATATATATGTACGTAATCTTTTAAAGTTATATTCTTTAATCATTCCTGACCGTTGCGAATGACCTAATTATTTATTGTCATCTTCGAAAATTGAAAGAAAACATAATTATCAATCATTTTTAAATAAAAATTTGTAATTATTATTAATTATTCATTTTTATAAACTTGATTAACATGTTTAAATTACATATCTTTTATTATGAGAATAAAGAATTGTTCGGTTATTGTAGTAAAAAGATGTTTGAGAAATTACATTGTTCTATTCTATAATGATGCGAAAAGTTAAATCCTTTATTATACAAGTTTTGGACGTGATTATAATGTACAAGTAGAATTATACTAGAAATAGATTTCACAAAAATTACATCAAGGATTTTTAGAAAAAGATAAATATAATATACTATACGTGGAAAAAATCTGTATTCATTTTAATGAAGCAACATATAGCTCTTAGGAAAGCATTTATTAACAAAAACAAAGATTGGCGTTCTCTTTGTTAGCACTTAGCACCATGTAGAAGTATTTTTATTCTTTGGCATTTTCTCATACTTGTTATTCGTACAAGATCCAAAAATATAATAAAGACTTGTGAAAAAATGCACTAGTGTTCCATGAAACAAATGCTATTGGACATGCGACAAAAGAACGGAATTGTAATAATTGTAAAAATCCTAAATTTATCTTTTGTTGCCTCTCAAAGTATTTCAGATAACACGGTTAATACAGGGTGTATAGTAAAAAACAAACCGCTCGTGATTCAAACAGATTGATAAAATTTTGGTCAAGTTTATTCGAAGCGATCCTTCGCATCTTCTTATGCTACCGAAATACAAATCGTTTACAAGCCATACAACGCTGAAGAGAACGTAAATCATCGTGTTCGTTGCACGCTGTCTCTCATTTTGTTTTATTTCTTTATGGAACCTTGGCCATAGTAATATTACCTCTGTACGATTAAATCATAAGAAGATAGAGCTTGTATAACTGTGTGTGAAAGCACACCAATTAATTTATCAATGTTAAATTAGTTTACATGTTTATGTAAGCCCCCCATAAGTAATTGTGAAAAATAAGATCTGGCTAATACTGTTCTCTAATATAAAGCACAGAAGCATTATATGTTAAAGATCCGCTGGGTGGACAAAAAATGTGGAAAAAAATGCGTGACAATTCAAGCTACATTGTTTCATATAATATTCAAGTAATATATACGACTATATTTGCTAGTTTAAATTCTAGAAATCAAAAATAGATTTTTAATTGATATCACAAATGAAAGACGAATAATTCCATCTTTAATTTGTCACTAAAAAACAATATTAAATTTACATATATATTTATTTCATCAAGAATAGATATATCTTTTAGATGTTAATAAAAAAAAAAAGTAAATTTTTGATCCCTACTTTCTCTCTCCATCTATAATAATTAGTACGAAAGATAACTGAAATCACGAAGCTCGCATGGACGTGCATATCTTATCAAGTAAAGCAGGTTTAAAAAGTGAGATTGAGAAAAATCTGACCACTCATAATTTAAGTTAAATTTTCATTGATTAAATTTTTTAAAGCAAAATTGCATGTTACAACAAATATGCGATCCTCCCATGCAGATGTAAATTAGATGAATGTAAATTCCATCGCTTGTGTTCGCCGTTAAGTCGTTCCAACAAAAAAATTTCAGTCAACACATGAGAAAAATTGATCGGCTTCTACATATGTGCTTCTACATATACCATTATATGTATATTCTAAATGAATTATCTTCTTTTATCTGGCTTCACAAAAAATGCATGAAATATACAAAACGTCTACGTGAAAATAGTATATAAATTGCAATAATCATACAAAAGCCATTTAATCAATGACTCTCCGCGCGTCAAAAGTTAGCAGCATTATCGGAATTATTTTTACAATGTACGTCTCTATATTGTGTCGAGTACTTATAACATCGTATTGAACATCATAAATTGACGCTAATTAAAAAAAGAACATTTTGAACAGATTTCATTCTTCTTTTTTTTTAAGTGGACTTCGCTTATCAAAGGGAGGATACAGGCTACGAGACAATCTGTCAACTACACTTAGTACAAATTATATATGCATTAATAGTACCGATCAATTAATATATCTATATACAAACAAATAATAAGACCTAACAGGAGCAGGAATCTTTTCCTCCCTGCTGTTCATTAGATACTCCTTGGAGGCTGGTGCGACCCGGTTGACTGGGATTATGTTGTACACCAGATTCCGCTGCATTTAGGTCCAATCTGCCGACAGAAAAAAAGAATTAATTTACAAATAAACATTATTCGGGATATGTATTAGTTTATAACATATTTTATAACTCTCAAGTGGTAGAGTTTTATTCAACGTACTAAATATCTTTTATTTAATTATGAATTGTCAAACTCACCGCCCGTCTTGTATACTTTGGAATATTTTCTTTGCAGTTTCCAAGAAGGCTTCCTCCACGTTATGTCCTCTGTTGAAAAAGAAATTAGAATACACGATTCCATTTACAATCATTAGAGAAAATTTATCTATATTTAAATATTTTAAGATAAAATACTCACGTCTTTGCGCTAGCTTCGACAAACATTAAGCCATGTTCGTCAGCAAACTGCTTCGCTTCTTCATAGGTAACGTCGCGTTGACCTTCGAGATCACTTTTGTTACCAATTAAGAATATAACCTGCACAAAGAATTGATTTGTTTTTATATTACTTGGTTATCTAAAATAATTCAGGAACGTAACTTTCTTTCTCTTATTGTAGATATTAAATTACAAATTAAATTAAACATGAAATTTTTATAATTGCATTGCGGTATGTAATATAGCAATATGCATACAGTGCTCGGATTTGTTAAATTCCTCGTGTCTGTCAGCCAGCTACTGAGATGATTGTAAGTTGAACGACGCGTAATATCGTACACCATTAATGCTCCAGCTGCACCGCGATAGTATGATCTAAGAAGAAATATTTTTTCCTTTGTACGCGTTTATAATTTTACATTAGATATGATTATTGCCTGAAACATTACAGTCATTACCTAGTAACTGCTCTAAATCGTTCTTGACCAGCAGTGTCCCATATCTGCAGTTTTATCTTCTGTCCCGCTACTTCTATGATCCTAGTCCCAAATTCGACGCCAATGGTATGTGGACAATCTGCCATGACTAAATTTACAAGAACATTTATATAAAAACCTTTATTCTTTAATACTTTTGCATAAATACAAGATATATTACATCAAGAAATAATTTATAACTTTAGTCTTTGGATCACATTTTAATGAAATAGCTCTACACTATAGCTCATAATTATAGAATATGCAAACCATGTATTTTTATTTAAACAAATTTATGAAAATTATATAAATATATATGAAAATCATAACATCTGCACTAATTTATTATAGATGATACTGAATTTTTAAAAACAGTTAAATATCGAACTGCCTTTAACAATGAAGAATTTAATAATTTTGCACACACAATTCTTATATCTAATGATTTTTCTTCAGAATAAGGAGTAATTCTTTTATGCTAGTATACTGATAACAAAAGTCAGTGTACTGTTGCAAGTTGCAAGTCTAAATATTGTCCGTGTCGTGCGCAGTATACATAGCATAATGTGCCACAGTCATATAATTATGTACGCGTAAGATTATACAGCACATCTTTTAAGAATGTGTCGTAAAAAACAATGATAAAGCACAAAATGATTTTTGTATAATTCTTACATTTGATTTTATCCACAAGTGAATACAATTATATATACACTAATTTCTTTTATTACTCACATTTTTTTTCTGTAAACTGATGAAGCAGGCATGACTTGCCCACTCCCATATCCCCTATGATGATGTACTTAAAGATATAGGAATAGTTATATGGACCGGTCGACATTTTGCACCTGCAATTAAGATTTTTAGAGAATGGTATTATATTTGTTGCAACTGTCCATTATCGATTATTTCGCGAGAAATGAAAATGAAACTCATAATCTACCGCGAAAGTTTTTTAAACAATGCTCATTCAACCTATTGTTAGGAAGTTATTGTTTCCAAGCTTATTGCAAAGATATCCGAGATGGATTATACTAATCTTGCACTTCACAGAATATCCCACGATCTTTTGTTTCATTCAACATGAGATAAGACACCATGACTCATAAGAATGTATCAACAACAGGTGTATATGTCAATAGTATAGTCAATAAGTATATGTTTTCGCAATTATTTACGTTTGTAATACAATTCCAAAATTGACAAAAAAAATTTTAAATCATTATCAACCTATGTTGACAAAGAAATGTAATAATAAACCTATTAATTTTCTAAACTAAATTATACAGTTTTGATAGTAAATTAATATGTATATTGAGCTTTAATGTTATTTGAAAAATCGATTATTAATTTGTTATTGCTCGGTATATCATAAATATATATGACAATATACAAAAAATATATAAAATTCTCAAGTTTTGGAAAAAAATATGTTTGACAACGAGCTTTCGTGACACGCAGAAACGTCGTTTACAAATTTACGAATAATTCTCGTGAATAGGGAAAAGTTTTCTTCGTCGCAGAACCGACATTCACAAACACGGCGGTGTTAAATTACTCGACTCTCGGGATAGATTGAATTGAACTCGACGACGAGGCGAGGGGCATGTGTGTTTCGCCACGGCGGAGCCTATCCGAGCTCCGCAGACGCGGAGATTGGGTCTCTCGGGCCAACAACGTCAACAATACACCCGCGCCGCCCACTCCCATAATTACGTTAACGCCTAATTAGCGCGGTGCCCGCGATCGACGATCGGCGGAGGATGGGTAGCGCGGCGAGAGAGATTCCACGAGGTGGACACGGACGTGGACGTGTCCGCGTTTCCGGATATCGGTTGGGAATGACTGACGATGACTGGTGGGAGTCGACTCACAAGATGTCAACAACGCGCGCGGGTACGGAGCGGATTACTCACACGCTCCGTGAATCGGAACCGCCGTGTAAGAAGGTTGCGGGCTGCTTCGCCGTGCAAGCGCTGGGCCGTGACCGAGGGGTGTGAACGGTGAAACGGCGCGGCTGACGCAGACGGCGGTCCGCGGGGCTCGTTTTGCTCCACGTACGCTCGTTCACTCTGTCATCGAGTCGCACAACGACGACGACGCGGACGTAACGCTCGCCTCGAGATATCACGCGCAATATGGCAGGCGGGCCGCGCTGTCGCTAGCGACGATGGCGAGACGAGCGAAACGTCAAACCACCTGTCACTCGCCACACACAAGTCCGTCCGTCCGTCAGCTCGCTCGCTCGTTCCACCTTCCGCCGCGCGCCGCGCTGCCCGCGCTTCACTCGCTGTGACGTCATCGCCTGGGAGCGCGAATCGGATTCGTCGAGAGGCTCGTCGGAGAGCTGCGCGCGCGTCGTATTTCGTATTATAGGTTTTTGTTAGAAATTAAAAAATCCAACATGAGATTGAGAATATTTTTAATATAATATGGTTTTGGTTTCCGTAAAAAGAATGTTTAGGTAGTAAATAATAAGTGTCGTTTAACATTTTATTACTTTAAAAATGTTAAAACTGTTTTTTATATATAAAGTGTTGAAATCAGAAAAAATAAAAAAAAAATAAAAAAAGGAAATAAGATAAACGTTTTAATTTAAAAAAATTAAGCATTTTTAAACCCATCAAGATAATAGAAGATATATTTAATTAGAGTTGAAAAGTTAATAAGAAGATACAGAACATGATTATGCCATGAAAATATAAACTATAATTTAAATCTTTAAATTCTATTTTTTTCTTCTGTAACGTCGATCTTAACAAATTTAGTTAAACGCAATTATAATTTTTCTAATTCTTAGAACTTGCTCTTCTTATCGTTTTTCAATTCTTTAGAATTAGAAAACGAAAAGATTAAGTTAATAAATCGCGATTAAAGTTAGGGCCAAAGCACATATGACAGTCGTAGTCGTGGACGTAAGTAATGCTAGGTCTACAATGCGAGTCGTAAAGTCGTGAGTCGTAAGAATTGACCAATCACAGTCGATTATTCT